CGATGCCTAACACCATTAGCATTGCCCGTGTAAGAATTTTTAACACTTTTTAATACAATTTTGCAATGATAGTAATTAAAAACAAAACAATTGTTTAAAGAGTAAAATATGTTCTTAACATAATCATATTTTAAAGTTATTTTAACATTTCCAAGTAAAATAAATGTTATGTTTAATGAAATGAATACGGGCAATGTTAATGGAGACAAGTAACGGAAAATGTTTGCCGGGATCTGCCGTATTTATATTGCAGATTTGTATCAGGTCATGCATACTCTTAAAGTAAAACTTATCAGATTTTTCCCCTTGCGGATGACCACCTCCCCTCTTCTCCGACCTCCCCCGTCCGTCCAGTGAAAAGCCTCCAATGACAGGTGGCACCCAAGTCACTCATATCACCAACACTCCACTCCTCAATGACCGCTACACCACTACACCACTCCAGCTTGCACTCCATGAAAATGTTTGTTTCACTTTATTTTTTTAATTATTGTTGGTTTCATCTTTAAACCTTTACGTTTCAAGAGCTCGCCCGCACGCGACCCGTCTACTCGAGCGCCGGAACCGAACTGAGTTGAATTTAAAATGTTATGTTAAATCATTATTATTTTAGTCTTTTTTATTTTAATTTAACAAAATATGTTTAGTTTTTATTTATTTTCAATAAATTAGCTTTTATACCTAATGTATTATAATAAATGATTTGTTTAAATCTTCAATATATTTTAAATCCATTGGTTGCTTAAGTTGATAACGCCAAAATTTATTAAGTAATTTTATATTTACAAAGTATAACTCACACTGATTCATTATTTTCAACACAATGATATTCCACCTTGATTTTCGTCTCAAACGTATCTTCATTCTCATCTTTTTCATTGTCTTTATCATTTTCTTCACAGTTCCTTCCTTCTTTTTTAATATTGCATGACAAAACTTTACTTTTATCATGATCAGAATTGTCATTTTCTTCCTCACTATCATTGATTTTAGATCTAAAATTATGGGTATGTTTAAATATCTTTCTGGCAAAAAAATGTATTTCATAGAAAGCTTTAGATACTTTAATTAATTGTTTCATTGAAATGAAGTTTTGCCCTTAAAAGTTGTTTGATTTAGAATCTGATATTATTTTTGGCATAGTTATTTTTTTATATCGATATTATATATGTAATAAGTAACAAGTAAATTATCAATAATAAATATTACTGCCAATTTGACAGTGTCAAAGTATTTAACTAAGGTCTTCAGCAGAAGTACCATTTTTTAAATACTAAATCAAACTGACATAAGCTACCAACTTAACAAAAAACACAAGTCCAAATAAAAAAATGAACTGTAGGTATAATCCTTTAAACAAACTTTTTGCCCTTCTATATTAATATTTTTACTTTTATCTCTAAGGCTTTCGCGGCCATTTTCTTTAGAAGTAAAAAAGGTTTCCGGGTTTCAAGACGCTTCTCCTAGTAATTTAATTTAAAACTTTTTTACTTATAATATTTTTAAATCTGTTTTGTACATTAAAGTGCCGATTATCCGCTTTTTTAAAACTAATTTGGTAATGGAAAAAATATTAATCTTTGATACAAAAAAAATTATGAGCAAAGGGAAAACATTTTTGGTTTCATCTTAGGTCGCCAACGGCATTTAGAATTAAAATTTAAAAAACAATACGAAAAAATTTAAAAAATATTTTTTAGGTTTGTTATTAAATTTTATTGTCTAAAGAAACCATCCCTTTCAATTATCGCATAAATATTATAGTTTCAGAGAACAAAATTTATGACAAAATTTATAAAAAATATTTTTTTTACTTTCAGTTTCCTTTTGTATACCTAAATTTTGTTTGTTTATTTTGATTGATTTTTATTTTTGTGTTTTCAAATAATGAATTTTAACGATTTAATACCTTTAAAAAAAAAATTCGATTTTCGGGACTAGGTCAAAAAATATTGTCCCCCTTTGAAGAAATTCTCATATGGTGACTTTATTTTATTGAGAATTTAAAGGCAAAAATATGAAATTTTGTATTAAAATTTTATTCATATTATAGAATGTAGAATGTTAATCTTGTGTTAAATGTTATTATATTGGTAACTTTTTTGTTATATAGCAAAAAGGTAGAATTAGTCATGATATTTCATAAATCAAAATTTAAATGTAAAAACACTTAAAATACCTTTAATTTAACTGTAAATTGTGTACCTATACGGTTTTAGGATAGGAACAAGCAGGCTGTGTAGAGATTCAAGGCTAAAACCATAGAGCCTACACAAGGGGCTCGAACTTCATGTAAACAAATAGCTTTCCAATATAAAAGGGTGCTGGTTTTTTGTTTATTGTTTGGTTTGTACAGAAATAGTACCAAAACAGCAGAATATCAGTGCTGCTGGTGGTAAAAACAGAAAACCTAATTTTTGTAGTTTAGATGGCAGGTTTTGTCAATTTCAAACGTCTTGTGTGGCTGAACTGTCACTTGTTGCATGTTTCAACATGTCAACTGTCAAACAACTGTTGACATGGTGATAATGCAATACATGGCAACGATGTTTACCCTTTATCAAGCAACGCTTCATAATCATCCAATTCTTCTTTGATTTCTTGTTTTATTGCTATCTCAGAGGTTGAAGGCATGTCTTGGTAAGCAGTACTTGGTTTATCGTAATCCATCGAAATATCATCTTTAGAATTGCAGACCATTTCTTCAGGTTCTTTTTTAACAACTATTTGCTCCATTGTGCATGGAAACCATAGAAAAAGAATATGGAAACTCTACTTTGTACTTATATTTAATAATTGCAGAGTCGTCATTAACCCTAAAATAGTTGGGCAAGCTGTAAAAAACAATACAAAACCTTTATAAGCCCTCAAACGACGAATTAAACGTATATTTACTTACCTTGACGGTGTTTTTAACTGACGGCCATAGATATAAACAAAGAATATAACAAAATTATATATTTAATGTCAACACCGTTTTTTATCAGTGTTGCCAATACTTATTTAAACGTCACATTAAAACCTTGGTAAAATCAATGGTAAAATCATGGAGCCTACACAAGGAGCCCGAATTTAATAGGGAAAATTGACAAAATCTGCCCTCTAAATTGCACAAATTAAGTTTTTTTTTTCACCACCAGAGGCGCTGATTGTTGATGCGTCCTGACGTCTGCTCTTTTGGTAGCGTTTCGGTACAAATTAGTCAATTGTTTCAGAATAAACATGACACCAGCACCTACTTTCACTAGGAGGATTCTTGTTTACATGCAGTTCGGACTCCTTGTGTAGGCTCCATGGGTAAAATGGTAAAATCAGATCGAAATTGACATGACCTTGAAAGCATCTCATATCGAAGTTTGTGTGGCAACGTTGATATTCAAACGTCAAAGGCGTAAGGATTTCATAAATAAGCGATTTTTCTTAAATGAAATCTTAAATGAGATCTCCCAAAAATCGACTTAAAAGTAGAGTATCTAGAAGATACCATCTTTTTAGAGCATTTTGAACGGATCCATGGCAGTGGCGGCTCGTCAGGGTAGGCCTCTGAGGCCGCGCCTCACCCTTAAAATGAAGGAACGAACGACTTTTTGTATTTATATTTTTGCCTATTACAAGTGTATTTTTACAACAGTTCTACCCAATAAAAAGTAAAAAACCAATCAATCATATTAAGCGTAAATAAAACTCCAGGCGCAAAGCGCGTCAAGTTAACGTGCATCGTTGAGACGCCAGACAGAGGCGAAATTTTCACAGCCTCGGAAGCTCCCATTTACCTCTTGAAAGCGAAAATGACTCACCAACAAAAATATCGCCGTAAGTTCGCGAATAAACACCGAGACAAAGAAGGTTGCCAGTCTTCTCTTAGCGTTTGTAGAGCACGTTATTGTTTTGATTCAGATTAAATTATTTAAAACTTTTGGCTGATCTTTTATAGTTTTTGTCTCGATTAGTAAAATTTCTTATTTAATTATTGTAAGGAACACACTAAGGTAGATTTAGCAGTTTTTATTAAGCAAATTTTATATTGAAATAATAGATTGCATAATTATTCAATTAGAGACGCGGTTTGAAAATTTAGAATTACTTTTATATCTCACTGCAGACCCACAATTTTACGACCAAATAATAGATAAATTTTCAATCTTAAAAGATAGACGTATAGTATTTTATATTTTTTAATACTTAGGTAGGGGTCGACTTTTTAGTTTTATTTTTATTTTTTGATTAATTTATTTATTTTTAACTTTTTTAAGACTATATTTTTAAGTTTAGGATTAAAACTAGTCTTTGATGTGATATTTTGTTTGTTTTGTTTTTTAGAGTTTATTTTTTGGTTTAGTAGTGCTATCGGCTCCATTTTAAAAAAGGTCAACGCGTCGCAGAATAATACCTCCCGGGTGACGTGGAAATTTATTCGTATTTAGACAAAATTAACCTTATGTAGCCTCACCCTCCTGTACACCCACGAGCCGCCACTGAACGGATCTCTTTTTTTAAGCCGGATTTATGGATTGCCTTCCTTCCTTCCCCCCTTCCTCCTGTAAAAGATGAACAATACGAAAACCGCCTTTTATAGATTCCCGTACGGGTTTTAATAAATACAATAAACAATATTAATTATAATAAAATAAAATTTTTAACAACCATTACAAAAATATTTATATAACCTTACCTATACTGGCAAATCTTCAAACTTTTTGCTTTTGACATAAAATATCTGCGCACATGCGCAAAGCCGCTTTCCAATTATAATTAGTTAGTTTGAAAAAGTTTGAAAACTTTTTCCACTAATTGAAAAGTACTACCACTAATTTTTGGTTGTGAACAACACTGTGTTCATAAGACAAACTTTTACGTTAATTGAAAACCCTAATTTATTCCACTAATTACGAGGTTCTGAATGATTCTAAATGGTTTGTCTCTGGTTTGTCCTGTGATTTTAATATTTAGGATTGGCAACACTGCTTCGGTATAGAACTTTCAAAGAACACCAGAGAGAGAAGAACACTTTGATAACTGTCAAGGTAAGTAAATATACGTTTAATTCGTTGTTTAAGGGTTTATTAAGGTTTTGTATTATTTTTTACAGCTTGTCCAAGTATTTTAGAGTTATTAAAACTATTCTGTGATCATTAAATAAAGCAGTATAATTTCCATACACAATGGAAAAAATAGTTGTTAAAAAAGAACCTGAAGAAGTAATATCCGATTCGGATGGTGATATTTCGATGAATTACGATAAACCAGGGCCAACCTCTGCTGACCAAGAAATGCCTTCAACCTCTGGTATAGCAATAAAACAAGAAATCAAAGAAGAATTGGATGATAACAGCAACTCTATGGTCTACGATGAATCAGAAGTGAAAGAAGAACCTAAAACGTTCACTGATGATGATGACTATTTTGATGAAGCCGAGCTAGTTGAAGTGAAATTCGATTCTGAAGAAAGAATGCTTCTTTACAAAGGGTAAGCATTGTTAAGTATATATAATGGTGGATTTATGCAGCACAAATAACATTTAAGTTAAATTAACATTATTATTAATGTAATGCAATTAAAGCTTATATGCAACACATTTTCATTAACTTTAACATTAAATTAACATTAACAGATGGCGTTGCAGCGCAATTTTTACACATACTTCCACACGGAAGTATGTGAATTTTTAAATAAACCGCGTCAGTAATGCCAACATATTTGTTGTTGTTATTTATTGTTTGTTTTCATTTATTTAAAAAGAGTGCCTTAAATGATGGTAAGCTTATTAAGCGAGTGAAATGTTTTTCTTCCATTTCTAATAAAAACAATCGCAATGATAGCAGCAGTTCAACTTCAACTCCCTCGACAAGTCACCGGGGTTCAAATCCTATCTGGGCCTGAAAAAGAAGAAAGGTGGATGATGGCGAGCTAGTGTCTGATCTTAAATTAGCTACAATTAACTTAAATAGCTACCTAAAGGAACAAACAAACAAACATCCTGCATCTCCTGAAAACGTGGATAAATTATTCGGGAAACTGGTGGAAAGCTATTTAGCTGATGTTAAAAATCCACTACACAAAAAAATTATTCAGAAAAAGATTTTGGAAATTTTTATTGAATATGAAATAGAAGGAATCTAGTTAGTGTTTTTGCATTGTTTTGTTAAACAAAACTTATTACTAAAAAACGACTTGCAACAACTTTACAACTAACAAACTAATTAAGTCGTTATTTTTTTAATTTTACATAATTAAATGTTTCAACAAATAGTGTGTTATTTTACACATTTCTAATAATTTATTGAGTAGAAAATTAAGGGAAAAAATTTAAAAACTTTTATTGCTTATAATAATTTACAGTTAAAAACATAATGAATCATAGATATACAGTTTATCCAAAGTTATCTGCTCACCATTGCTAACTTTGTTATTATTGAAGTTGGTTAAATTAGCAAATTGGTTATATTTTTTCTTCTGATTGAAACAGTAAAAACCAAAAAACAAATAAACGTCCAGTTTTCAAAATATTCACAAAAATGAAAAACCCTGTATATTTTTAGATATTTTAAAAGACAATTTACTTTGGGACAAAACATTATTGCATAACTACCCTAAACTTAAAAATAAACAATTAGTAAACACTTGAACTTCTTATTGTTTAAATAATAATTTGGTTATTTCAACAACCATTAGAAAGTTCAAGTGCTTATTAATTGTTCATTTATAATTTTAGCTTGTTCATTTATAATTTAAGCTAACTACCCTAGGGTAGTTATGCAATAATATTTTTTTTGTTCCAAAATAAATTGTCTTTTAAAATATGTAAAAATATACAGGTTGTCCCATTTAAAATATGTTATTTTTGTGAATATTTCGGAAACCAAAAGTTTAATTGTTTTTTCTGTTTTCACCATATAAACCAGAAGAAAACCGACTTGTAACTCACATAATAACTAAGTTAAAAATGTTGAGTTGGTGGATTTAAATACAATGTATAAATTACTTTACATAAACATTTTGACAATTATTGTACAATAATTAAAATTATAAATTTCAAAAAAAGACATTACAAAAATTTACATCATTAACCTTAAAATAATAATAATATTGTCTTACATGTCACCAGTAAAATTCTGTGACACCAAATCAACTCTGTTGACAGACCTTAACATCTGTGTATGTCACCATTGTCTAGGCCTTATATCACCACCAGGCAATTAAAAAAAACAGATATAAACCTATGTCATATAAAATTTAATGAAAAATTTATCTTACTGTGGAAATATAAAATTGAATGTTTTTGTAGGACCAACAGTGAGGTTGTCAAAGAAAAATTAATGCCAAAAATTGTCCTTCCAAAAGCAGGAAAAAGTAAGTGTTTTTTAATTAACTAAGTTTTGCACAGTCCCTGACAAAAAGTTGAATCAAAGTTACATGCGGACAAAACTTGTCTGATTTTGTTTAAATATTACCGTTCCTCTTTTTTTTGTATTTTGACGCGTAGGGGACGCGCTACGTAGTTTTAAAGTCCGTGCATTTAAAGGTATAATATATTATAGGACCTGATATACTCAATTTTCAAAAATATTTTTTTTTTGATAAGATAGCTGTTTCAAAATTAATTTATTTCTTAATTTTGGCATAGATAGATAGGTGTCATAGATTTGTATAGCATCTGCACCAATAAAAAACATGGATTGTGTATTTGAAGGCGACTACAATTTAAAATATTTGTGTTTTATTAGTAAATTTAATAGTCTAACTTGAAACATTTTTAATCAGATCTAAAATCAAATAAAAATGACTTAAGATTAAGATTACTACATGTGTAAATAAATTCTTTTATGGGCGCCAGTATGGTTACTACCTCTATTTTTCTGTATTATAGTTAAAGCCTGTGCTAAGAATGATGCAAGTGTATTCTTTAAACATATATTAACCAGAATTCACACCATTATAAAAGGGTTTTGCTACAATTGTTTTAAATACTTTTTTCACCCTGTCTCGAAAATTAGTCGTATGACAACCAAATTTTAACAAAATTGTAATAAATAACAATAACAAATGTACAGGGGTGGGGCATAGCATGTGACGTAGTTAACTATTTAAAAAAAATAATCTGGCATCGACTGTAGGCAAACCGTGCGCTGAACTAGGAAATTAAAAAGTAATGATACCTAAATAAATTATAAATACTTTAAAGAATATTGAACATAACCTAGAAACCATGCTAGAAACAGATGTTGGATTCATTCGTAATTCTTGACACATTTGTTATAAAATCGTGACGTCTTGCGGTTTTAAAAACGCTGTAGCGTTATCAAAAATTGTTTAAGAAACTTATAAAACAAATTTTAACAACAAATTTGGTTGCGTAGATTCCAAATTTGCAATAAAAAATTGCATGTCCCAACCCCATTGTTATAAAATTTAATTTTTATTCAATTTCATTCATTTGCAATAAAAAACTCTTGTAACATTTTTATATTTTTTGAATTGCTATTCATAGACTTATAACAAAATGGGATAAGGAAGTATTTCTATAAATATAACATTGATCTTTTAATAATAACAATTTCCAAAATAAACAATAAGTTTTTTATTGTAAATTATATATTTTTTTATATAGATGTCATCAATTAAGGCAAATGAAGTTTGTGTCAAAATTATTTTCTATATCTGCGCTGGTTATGATTTGTTAACCATAAAATTAAAAATCAAATATGCTACAATTATTAAAAAACATAATTAGTCCTTTTCAATTAAAATTTAAAAATTCTCTTGGTCCTTTCATATTTTAATTTAATTGTTTTTATTAATAATAATAAAATACTTTATTCATCCCAAGAAACAATGTGAACTTGTTTATAGAGGTACATCTCTATATGCACATTACATATTTAGCATTAAATACAATTTCAAAATTTGAACTTAATACTATGACTACATAAAAACTTTATATTTGAGCTATACTTTAAAACACCACCCTCAACATCTAACGGTCGACTACTTGGTATTTTATGTTTGTTAATAAACATATACGTAGACTTTTCCACATTTAAAGTGAGTTTATGTGATTTTAGCCACCTAGAAATCAAGCTCATATCCTGAGCAATATAACGCTCTAAAATGTCCACTGAATTCGAGATGTATACAAGGGTAGAATCATCCGCAACCAAATGTATTTTTCCTTTAAGCGATAAATTAGTTAATGAATTTATATAAATGAGGAATAGGGTTGGGCCCAATATTGAGCTCTGTGGAACCCCATAGTCTCACTTTTTATGTTACCTATCTGAACAGATTGTCTTCTATCGCTTAAATAATTCTCGAACCACACATTTCCCACACCGCAAAGCGCATTTTAAGTTTTTATAAAGGTTAAGCTGTATCTCAGTAATTAAGTCAATCGCTGCCGAGCTAGTGTCGCTAAACCTGCGGAAGCCATATTGAAAATCTGAAAAAAAATCCCACATTATTCAGATACGTTATAATTTGACAATTTACAATTCTTTCCATGATTTTTGAGAATACAGGTAAAACAGATATAGGTCTGTAGTTATTTACACAAAATTTATCTCCACCCTCGAATAGTGGAATTACTTTTGCTATTTTCATACCACCTGGAACTTGCCTATACTTAAGAGATTGGTTTATAATTTTACATAAAACTGGTGCCAAGTCTTCTTTACATTTTTCTACTACCTCCTCTATTGTTACTGAAGTGAACTTAAAGGTTCTTCTGCTTGATTTTTCATTAGTCTCATCCAATGTTGTATTAGGTATACTTTCTGCAAGATGTTTGCCTATTGTTGAAAAAAAATTATTCATTACATCACCCCCTTTCTTCCGATCCTTAATCATAACCATGATGCCCTGGTCACACAGTACAGGAAGTTCCTGCGATTTGATAGTGTCACTATTCCTAGTCAAAGTATTTATGGCTTTCCAGCACTTTTTTTTATTGTTGTTCAAAGACTCAAATTTATTTTTATTATAGTTGTTTTTTGAGGTTCTTATTTCTTTGCGTAGTATAACACAAGTTTCCTTGTACTTTTTGTGAACAAAGTCATTATTTGGGTCATTTATCGACTTTTTAAAGTAATAAAGATTATATTTTGTTATTAAACCAAGCTTTACTATTGGGCCTAAATTTATTTTTCAACAAAATAAACCTTAGTTTTTTTGTAAAACTTCAACCATCTTGCCAGCCATTATTATTATTATTATTATGTTTGTATATGAAATTTACATATTTTTTTTAATTCTCAAAATATAAAACATGAACGATACTTTCACTGTGAAAAACTGCTTTTATATCGGATTATACGGTCCATTTTCAAGGGATACATTTCAATGTACACATAAAAATTTGACGTAATACAGATTCCCAAAAATGGTTACTCTATTGTTTTATAGATGTCGCCCCACACAAATATTTGTCGTAAAAAACTAAAGTATTCATCTCGTTTATAAACTTTTCTACTTTAAAACTGACTGAAAAAATACTTTTTTTTAGAATTAAGAAAAAATCCAGTATCCGGAAGTGTTAGGAATAATTTTGATGTCTATGAATGTAAGCATTGTTCAATTCAATTTTTCAACGAGGAAGCATTTGAAAGTCACGAGGAACGCTGTTTAAAACCGAGAGTAAGGGTTCACACAGGAAAGATGTTTGAATGTGACTATTGTCCTAAGAAGTATCAGGCAAAGAGGAGTTTATTGCAACATAAAAAATATGTTCATAAGCAAGACGAACAGGACCAACTGAAATGTGGCAAATGTAATTATCAAACTTTTATAAAAAGTAATTATAAAAAACATCTAAAAACTCACGAAAAAGAAAAATATTTAAAATGCAAATTTTGTCAGTTTATGGCTGCCCAATTATCTGCTTTAAATGCACACATTCTAAGAAAACATACCTTCAGAAATACAGAAAGAAGTAAAACTAAAATAATAGGTAAAATACTTCTGTGCACCAATTGTCCATATTCCACCCGTATCAAAACACATTACGATTATCACATAAAATTGTGTTTGAAATTAAAAAATGTTCAATGGTATGAATGTGATATTTGCCATTTTAGAACCATTCAAAAATGTAATTTAAAAAGTCATAAAAAAATGCATCATGATAAATAAAATAATTAAAATAATTAAAATGTTTTTATTATTAATATTATTTTAATTTAAAAAAGTTGCAAGTGATTAAAAAAAAAACATTTGTATCAGGTTCGTTTAGTTCGTTAGTTCTTAGAGACTATTCGCATGCGCAATAACGAAAGTAAAAAGAATTTAGATAGTCTTACTTACTCTTAAAAACTCTTCAAAGATGTTTTATTTTGTTATTAAAAATTTTTCCTGTGTTGTTATAAGTACCCATTGGGAAAAATAATATTTCTACAATGTTACAATTCTTAGTGTAATGTACAAAAATCCTTAAGGCAATGTTCCTACAACTTTGCAGCAAAGCTGACCGACTCAGCAACATTTCATTTGAAATGTTTCAAGTGTAAATAAAATGTTACTTTAATTTGATTCCAATGTTACTAAACGTTTCTTGCAACGTTGGGCCCAACTTTTTGATGTCTTACTAATGTTACCAATGTAACATTTAAAAACTTTCCATATGAATCTAATTTTATTGTGATGAATTGAAATAAACTTGGCTTATATTATAAGAATTGCTTTTGCGATGCTATAAGCCTTATAACAACTGAAACAATGTTTATTAATAATTTTCTTTGTGTTTTCTTTTATAATAACCAAAAAAAACATCTGTGATAAATTCCGAATATTAATTTTTATCGCTAGATCACTTCTCTGCTGAAAGTTTTATTAAGTCACAATATCTTTTCCAGAAAACTCCCAAATCTTGGTAATAGTCTTATTTTAAGTTTGTAAGAGAAAGTAAACCTTTTTCTCAGTTTTTCAGAGAAAATTTTCCAAAAGTGAGCAACTGGTAGTCCTAAGAACTTCCAGTCGTTAAAATTTCGGTAGAGATATTAATATATCTTAGTCTTAACATTTACATTTAGAGGTGCCTATTTTATATTTTCTATTGAAATAACACGTAAAAAAATGTGAAAAATTTTGATTTCTTTTTTCTTATATATTAACTATCTTAATAAAGAATACTCTAGAACATTTAACGCTCTATACTTTAACCGATTAAGAGATATTTGTCTATAATATTTAGTCATCTTAAAATTTTTAATTGTTAAGTATTTATAACAGTTTAATCGCTAATTTAACATTTTATTTTATATATATATATATATATATATATATATATATATATATATATATATGTATATACTGTAGTGTGCCCGGGTCAGGTTGCCAATAAGAAAAACTTTTTTATTATGTGTTTTACGAAAAAAAAGGCATTCTTTATAAAAACGCCTGCCTATTTAAAAAAAGAGATTTAAAAAAAAATTAAATATAAATTAAGACCATAAACATGCTGTCAGAGGGAAGTACCTTTATTTATTATTTATAGAAAAATTACAGTCGCTAATAATTTTTTTGTTTCGTTCGCCTCAATACAGGGGCGATTTAAATAAAAAATACATTAGGAAAAACCGAAAGGAACAGCTGGAAAATCGAAAAGTGGAAATTCGTACAACTTTGGATTAATTTTAATAGATGGCGTTCGTAGCTGCGCTTCAAATTAAATGAATAATACTGTTTTAGGCAAATATTCTTTATTGTGTTAGAGTTTGGAAAATTTCTTAGTACTTCTAAAAGAGCAAAAAGAATCTCTATCAAGATAGTTTGATAAGTCAAACTGTTTACGATTTTTTTACGCGCTATTAAAAAGAAAATGAAAAAAATATTCACCTCTTAATATCAATGTTGAGAGCGCATATTTGACTAAGGTAAATAATTTAAGATGCTTTACCGAAATTTTTATACAAACAGATTCCAGACACTCGGTCTATAGACCGATGTAGTTTCGCTCTAGCTACTCTAGCAACTTGCTGTTGAAGAGACAGCTGAAGAGACCGCTTCCGACACGATTGTCTAGAACTTCGCGCACTTCACGAAACTTTTAGCTAGAGCAAATATAATTATATATATATATATATATAGGTATATATATTATTTTTTTTACTTAAATCTAGTACCTACATATTTTCATGGCAACTGATTGTACGGAACTACATTAAAACCGGTGTCGCAATTGTTTGTGTGTTGACAGGCCAATACACTTCAGTTGGGACACTCGCTCTATAAACCGATAACTAGACTAAAAATGGCTTGTTGTGTTGTATACTCAATCATAAAGGTTTCATTAGTTTTTTCTAGCAAATAAATAACTATAATTAACACATTGATAATGATATATCATTATCAATGTGTTCATTAAGGTCATTAAAGTTAAAATCTTTTTTATTACTGTTTTTAAATTCTCACAACAGATCACACACAAAAAATTATGCCACAATTTTTTAAAGAGTACGAAAAGTGTTTGATCAGACCTCCTTGGAACTGACAGTAACAATTACACGCATGCGTATTAAAAAATCAGAACTGATTATCTTTAATTCTAGAACAATTTTGGCATGATCAAACGAACCTATCATACTCATTGATTATATTTATATACCTAATTTTAGTTTTTAAATCAAAATTCCAATGCTTTAATTTTAAGTCTAATTTTTAATAAATTATTATTTAACCGGTATATTTGTAAAAAATAAAATAAATATTCGCATTTTTTTTTTAATTTGTATTATTTTTAAAAGTCTGCCTTTTTCCAAACCTGGTTTTTAGTAGTATGTCCAAGCTTCTGCAATTACTGTTTTTTTCGAATTTACTGGTGATAAAACTAATGAATGTACTCAATATGGTTGGTATGAGTTTAGAGTAGTCGTGGTTTTAATGAAAAACTATTAAATTTCTAACCTTTATAATCTGTGAATTTCTGTGACCAAAAAATCGTGTAAGTATAAGTGACAATATTTTAACTACTTAAAAAAAATATAATAATCATATTTTATAAAATAATATAATTTTCTCACAAAAATGTATTTTAAACTTTTAAATTGATTTTATAAAATGATTTGTCAAAATAAAAATTTTGGACTAGTACTGTTCTTAATCTTACCTATTCAATTACAAAGTAGGATCTTTGATAGGTATTACTTATGTTTAAAAAATAAAAATAGCATTAAAATTAAAATTATTTTATTTACAACATATAATAAAAACAGGAACAAAAATAGTTTATAAACAAAAATAGAAAGAAAAATAATTAAAAAATATAAAAATATTAATTATATTAAAATATTTTTAACAGGAACTTAATTAACAACACAAAAAATGACTCTAAAACTAATCGAATCGAATTAGAGAAGAAAATAATTTTATCATGCATACATATTTTAGAGGCCTATTCCCTTTCGTTGAACATGCATGTTCATAAACTACATATGTGTCGTAACAAATGTGCGTATTTCCTTTCATGGTACAATGTTTATTGTACCATGTTCCCTTTCAATTATTTCGTCTATAGACGCATGCGCTCAAAGAATTTCTTAAACACCCATGTTTATAAACATCATCGGTGCCTAATTTGCTATACATGATGTTGACGTATGTTTACGAACGCCTTTTGCTTACATGGACCTTCAAGTCACTAAAAGTCTGTTATTTAAATAATAATTTTAAGATTACCCTTTTCCATTTAAGGATGAACATTAAGGCCCCGCCAGAAAATCTGTTAATTGGCTAGTTCAGCATATAACGTTTTTCCCACGTATTTTTAAAATTTGTTGATTTTCTTAAGGTGTTTTTAGGTTCACTTAATATATTAAATACTACCAATGATTGTTCTTCTTTTTAATGTATTTGGCCTTGGTGTGGATAAACCATATCGCCCAGCGGTCTAGATATTTAGCTCGTAATCCGGGGTAGTATCTCAGTAAGCACAAGCTAATCGGCCCGCATACGGCCCCAATACGTTTTGCCGAATCGGCCGCGTGCGGCCCGACACATGTATTTCTTCCGGCGAAGAATTTTGCAGCGCCATGCCGTATTCTGGCCGACTTCGGTTAGAAAATAGCTAAACGGTGCCGGGGTAACATAACGCGGGCCGGCTGGGGCAAGCCGAACTGCCGGTCAACCGCCTATGCCGAGCGAAGGCCGACTGTTTGCCGAGTGTTTGGTGCTTACTGGGATAATGTTGGTAGGCGTGATAATAGTAGTAAATTCCTACTAGAAATATATTAGGTATGAGGAGGGTTACTTATATCTATTATTATGCAAAGCGAAGCGGGTTTTATATCATGATGCTGCTCGAATCTATAGATTCCTATAGGAAGTCTACTACTGCTACTATGACTTCGTGTGTAGGGTTATTTAGGATACTGGTTAGTTTGATGGAGTTAATGGGAATTCTACTTAACCTTCTGTATAAGACATTGGTGTGGTCTGCCTGGAGTGGACATTCTAGGAGTATGTGGTGTAGGTCTTGTTCGTCTGCGCCATGGCAGTCGCATGCGGATGTTGCTGCTAAACCTATTCTTTGGAGGTGTGACTTTGTAAGACAGTGGCCACTTATCAGTCTTAGAAAGATAGTGATATGTCTTATATCTAGAGGATTGGCTGTGATCCAGGGTTTTTGGAGCTCTGTTGTATGTGTAGAGAAGAATTTGCCTGATGTTGTTAGGGTGCCCTTAACTTTGTTTTTCCAGTTATTGTGTATGTCCTTTTTTATTAGTTTTAGGAGATCTCCCCAGTGCGTTTTAGTTTCTTTTAGCGTTTCCAGTATACATCTTTGATTAGCCAGGTTAACGGCTATCCCGTTGCCGGGTATATTAGTGTGGCTGGAGACCCAGCAGAATTCTACCTTAGCTCCCTTTTTTTCTAGGCTAAGTAGTATGTTTTTAGTTTCAAATGTAAGTTCGTCTTTTTTTGCACTATTATTGATGTTACAGATTTTTTTACAACGCTGCCTGTGAGTCTGAGACTATTATAAAGTGGCTTCTTTTGCATATGTATCTGTCGCGTATACCAGAGCTTGATAGATTGAGTAGCATTCTGCTGTCATGAAGGCATAGTCTGACGGAATAATGTGTTTGGTTGGAGGGGCTTTGGACTCCTGATTCTACTCCTGCTTGAATCCGTATGGTAGGCTTCCCAGCCTCTCCACCTGTTGTCGGTTTCTTTTTGTAGAGGGGCATAGATTATGGAGGGAGATGTTTTATCAGCCCAATATGCTCCGTCTTCGTAGAAGTCGGAGTAGATGGCTATGAATTTTGCCTTGAT